ACATGAGAATGCGAAACAACAATAAAACAGCCACAGACAGTGACGCAACTAAAACATTTTCAAACAACAAAACCAACTTTGTTGTGTACAATGAACAAGTCGCCAAGAAAACTTTTCCACCCAACAAACTCTTGATGAAAAGTTTAAATTGTCAATTGAAAGTGATGAAAAGTTTTTTGATTAATTTTCACCGTTAGATAACTGTGAACATGATTCATGTGCTATGTTGAGGGAATATGCCATTACAGTGCAGTAGATAACTTACCATTTATGTAAAAGAGGAATTTGTAAATTGTGTCAGTGAAGTATAGAGATACATACTAGAAGCGAGTGTTGAAAAGGGGTCGCATAAATAAGATGATTGGAGCGCCGAAGAGGGTGTGGTTAGAAAACGTAAAACAAAGTTGTTTAATAATAAAAAAAAGGGAGCAAAATAATGAAACACATTTATTTTTAAATGGAAATTCTCATGCTAAAATTTTACAGAATTTCATTTCATTCATGCACCACATTTTGGCTAAGTTTGAAGCACTGAATAAGCAGCAAAATTGAGTTATTTATTTTAATTTAGTTGTATTCACAAGCAACGTATATGAGTGTTCAATCTTCATGAGCCGGTTAAGGACGTTTACTCAATACAATAGGGGTTCCCCTGTGAATTTCTTCAGAGAATTTTCCACTCCAAGCCCACTCAAGCCTCTGGAATTATATTATTTAAAACTCCATCAGTGTCTAGAATGGCCAAAACACCCTATTTTTTTTAGTTCTATTTAGTTAAGCCTGAGTCTGTTATTAGATATTTCGTCATGAAGGCTAAACTATCCTACGGCTTCACCATCCTTGCCTGGAAGGCGCCTAAGACGTTGTTGATACCGTAACGAGGCCAGCGTTCGCAAGTATGTTCCAAGTATTAATGAGTGTTTGAATACCTCGTCCATCTATATCGTCGAAGCGAGAGCGCAAATGAGCGAAATGTTGAAGAACTCGCTTTGATGCGGATTTTGGAAACGCGCTAGGCCCTTGTTGTAAACGATTTTTTTTTTTAATTTATTGCAAAGAAAACAGCTACTAGGGATCCAAGTCCCTCGGATTTCCCGACACTCGTATTCTCATATTGTCGTGAACAGTCAAAAAAAAAAATTAAAATAAAGCCCGAGCGCGTTGAAATTTCTTTCCTCCCTGGCATCACAAAGACTTCTGCGGCTCCGTTGATCTGGATTAACAGCGCAGTTGATCTAGTGAAAATTGTGACTTGACAGACGGCAGAAATGCGATTTAACGAGCTTCAAAGTCGTGGGTTCGAGTCCCACGGTCAGTAGAGTTTTCATTAATTTTTTTTTACTTATTCAATTATAACTTCTATATTTATTTAACGTGATTTTCAGTTAGTTTCATCAATAACTTCCTTGATCTGAACTCATTTTGGGAATAAACTCTAGAACGTAATCTGGATCAGTTAATGCAGTTAATCCCTGAGATAATTCTGAATTAACGAGTGAATCCGGATCAACGTTCCTGTCTGTCTATGCTTTAAGTCAGAATCATTGCCGACTTACCGACTGTTTAGTGTGTCGGAGCTCATGAAGACCTGAGAAGAAGCAGAATTAAATTTGAACACACAATGCCAAAAACTGTTCAAATTTTTTCAGGAACATTGTTTATACCACATTTTTACAACCACAAGCTAATGAACCTATCCACAACTCTGCCAATCGTTCGTATCCTCTTTTTAATTCTTGCAGTCTATCTGTCAACTAACTTTTGATGAGTTCAACTTTAGCTGCTTGATATCGCGCCAATGTTTTTGCACTTCCCCCCCTCTCTCTAACGGCTCTCGTAGGATGCTTCATACATTCAACACTCTATCGCTTCATCAAACTCTCTCATTTCTCATTTGGCAAAAAGAGTAATCGCTTCGCTTATCTAACCAGTTGCTGTTGTTGCAACAAAGTTTGTTGGGGTTGTAATGTTTTTTTGTTTCACAGTTTCCCTATGACTTCCCTATGGTTACCAATGCCTTTCCTAACTACCGCAAATCCCTCGCTCTCTGTCCCCCTTCGTATGTTTGTATTGACTGTTTTGCTTTTATCACTGACACTGTCGTTCTGTTTGTTTGCCATTTTGTCTAGCTGACTGTCTGACTACTCGCTGACTCTTGTTGAACTTTGCTGCCATAAAACCCTCTCCCTTGTCGCGTACGTACATACGTCGTTCGTTTGTAACCAAATGAGAACAAAGTCATTTGTTGTCGTTTGTTGATGTTTGTTATTGCTGTTAATTGTATGTAT